TTCCGTGTGCCCCTAGTTGAAACAATGCTTCGTAGCCGGGTAAGTGAAGGAGGCAACCTCTGTTAAATCTCTCCCTTGGACATTAACTTGATTGCTATTAAATGGTAGGAGGCAATAGGCAGGCAACCTTGAACCTAGGTTTCGTGGTAGTCGGCACTCACCAGTCAGCAAAACGTACCTGCAACCCTGAAGGATCTCATATCCTCTCTGAGATTCTAAACTGTGTCACTAAGTTCTCTGCAGCTACAGATGTTACCACTAAGCTGTTCAGGCTCTCAACTGACCTTGGACTGTGAGACTGTATTAAATACTTTGATTGAGTGAACACTAGTAATGTCATACGTCTAGTCCTTTGTTTGGTGCAGACTGAATTCTAGCAAGAAATCCTAGGTCAAGCAAGGCCTCCCGCCAACTACTTCCAACCATTTAATAACAACATTTCAGAGTGCACCGTGATGGCACGCCAATTAGTGGCACACTGGCCAAATTGCAATTCAGTCTGCAGAGGACTAGAGGCATGACACTAGTTACTTACTCACTAACTAACATCCAGCCAATTCAAATATTAACTGCGTAAGTTGAATACATCTTTTTCCATGAAGCTCTTCTTAGACAGTTTTCACTTCTCTCTTCTGCTATGAATCAAATGCACATTTATATATTTTATTCCTTTACGTTCCCAGTGGAACATAGGGCGGCTTCAAGCTAGAGGATTGAAGTTTCGGTAGCAGTGGTATTTACTTTTACGGGATGGGGTTGTTGCTTGCCCCATGCCCAACCTTCCCTCTTTCTCAGTCTTATTACTACCTTAGCGAGGTAAAGGGGTTAATCGGCCGGGGATCGAACCCCGAACCGCATGAGGTGTGGCTGGGGAGCATTCAACCGCTGTGCCACTGACGCACACATAAATCAAATAGACTGTTAAATTGCTGGAAAGAGATAAACATTAGGCATTTTATGTTGAAAGTATTCATTTTCTGCGTCGGTGGCACAGTGGTTTGGACTCTGGCCGACCATGCACATGGTCCGGGGTTCGACCCTCTGCCGACGCACACCTGTTATCAATGGTCGGCCTGCAAAATTTGGGCTACCGATATCGCATGCTGAGAATTCCATACTTGTACCGAAAATACTGTGTGGAATCAAGCTGTAATCAAAACAAATAATAATAATGGCAGATACTTTACCGATTGATTGGAAAGTGTTCATGAATGTTAATGAAGCTGGGTGGATTTCGTTGTCGCATTTCACTTTTATTTTCAAACTCACTCAAAAATCACTTGTACATCTATTATCACCTTTGCAGAGTGTTAACACGCTTCAATTGGAATATGTGTAATTATATCATCAATATTAAATTCACTAAATATTCATCTGCTGTGATCTGACGTCACAAATAGTTTAATGTAAGATGACATTACAATATAAACTAAATTTACCTATGACAGTATAACGTTACAAAATATCCATAGGTCATGTGAATATCTGAGAATGTTCGAAATTCGGTGTTAAACTTAAATTGACAGTCTGTTACATTGAATTTACTTACAGTACTATAATCTAGCATTGTTGGGTAAAGAAGCTTGATAAATTATGGTTAAATGTGTGGCAAAAAAACATTAAAAAAATGAGTAGCTATAAGTAAGCAGTTAAAAGTAGGAAAATAGGAAATTGTGACCAGTGAGGCACACAATATGAAGGTGAGGTGGATGCTCATTAAAAGCGCTATATCAGCGGAATCAGCAAAGTTGCAATTCGTGAGTCATTGAATTCCAGTCCAGATGGTTGAATGGTCAATGAACTTGATCTCAGAAACTGAAGGCTCCATGGATAGTTGGGCCACAGCTGAAGAGTCCCACCAAATAGGATGAAACAGCTGTCCAGTGCTGCCTAGTTTTCAACGATCTCTTGAACTAATGTTGGTTCTTGGCTAAAAGCTAACAACTGAAATCTGTTAAATCCCTGACGAATGCACCTTTGATTCTATTTTTTCCAGTTTCCCCTAACTGTGTGAGGTTAGGCAGAACAGCCTTCCTATACGATCGTCTGTTTATTTCTTCCAATAACTTCAAACCGCTCATTAGAATTTGTAATGCAGAAGATAAGTGTTTTATCTTCTCCTGCTTGTTGTATTGCTGTCTTAGTAGTGGTGAGTGAGAGAATAGTTGTATGGCCCTATGGGGGCTTACCTTTCAGTTTAATAGGTTTTTCGCTTCATCATAGCAAGCACATCGTCTCTTTTGAAATGGCAAGTTAATATACTAGCATTTTTAAGGAAACTTCATAGATTTATTGGCCTTGGTTGGTAACCTGTTTATAATTTGAGGTATCCAATACCTCCATCATTATCCTGCATATTCTTTCTCTTCTTCATTCTGTTTTAATCTATCAGAATATGACCTCTAATGGTATTATCTACTCTGGCGAGGATTTAAATTTAGAAAATCAAAACAAATGATTCAGTGAAGAGACTCTTTTCAACGAATCTATTATCAAGCTGTACAATCGTATATATATGGTTTTTAAGAATTTATATCCGGTGAGGGAATTGAATCATAGGTGTGAATGCATAAAATAAGAACACTATCCTGCATGGTTACGAAAAGGCGGGAGTGGAGCAATAAGAAGCGCGATCATTGAACATCTGGTCGATAATGATCACCCTATCTCTATAGCCTCCGCCTTCAAAGTCATCTACAAGGCAAAGAGTAATTTACCCAAATCCCTACGTACCCGACTCATCTGTATTGCTGAAGCTTTGGCTATCGAAACAGGAAAGCCAGATCTCTGTGTACAGAAAAAGTTCGTCCAACCCCTCCAACTTTCATGGTCTTAATCCCTCTATGCTAAAGTATGGTAATCCCCAATCATATTTTGGCTCTACCATTTTTTCATTTCTTCATTTTGTCTATTCAATTTGTAGTCTCTTCCTTATTACGTCAATTGTTACTATTACTGCTCTTACTTTTAACTGTCCCCGGTATTATTTCACTTGTCATTCCAAATCAATGTCTTTTTACAACATTAAATTCTATGCTATTAAATTTCACACAATATTACGTAACGTTTTTGTTTTATTCGATTTGTCTACTAATCCTATAATTGCGCACCCTCTTTCAAGTTCTATCAGTCCTATGAATTATTCTATATTTGACATTATTTTACTTTGCCATCTGACATTTAACAACGATTATAATCACAAACATTTTAGTTTTAATTGCATTTCATACTACTACTACTATTATTATTCTTTTATGTATTCACACCTATGATTCAATTTCCCTCACCGGATATATATATATATATATATATATATATATATATATATATATATACGTATATACGATTGTACAGCTTGATGATAAATTCGTTGAAAAGAGTCTCTTCGCTGAGTCATTTGTTTTGATTTTCTATATGTTACAATGGGAATTTTCCATGATTTAAAAAATAGTATTTAAATTGTTTGCAGTCTACTGTTTCTCAAGTTTCTACTAAACTTGATGAAAAGCCTAGTCGTAGTTTGTAGCTTACCTCAATACATGAAATAATTGTCCCTGCTGTTGGATCGCATAATGTACTCTTGAACTAATCTTAAATGGCTTTAATGCGAATGTCATGCATTTCTCAAAGGAAACTAAGAAGAAATGTCATAATGGGACCGATTTACACTTCAGGTCAGATAGCATTCTGTCACAGGGTCCACTGTCAATTCATGCTTTATATGAAGATCATGGATGAAGAGAAAATACCACGCAATAAACTTCGCCGAACATTCTTTATATTATAGGAACACTGTCCAGAATAAAGCCATTATTATTATTCATGTGTAGCCCTCTGGACAGTCCGCTCCGTCCTCCTTTATGGCTGTGAGACCTGGCCATTGAGAGCGGAAGACATAAAAAGATTAGCCGTCTTTGATCATAGGTGTCTGCGTTATATCTCCCACGTGAAGCCGTATAATAAGTTGAGCAATATTGACGTTGGGCTTCAGTCGAGTGCTAGGTAAGGAGGGGAAATCAATAGACGAAACTGTGAAATTACATCGACTGAGATGGTTAGGACATGTGTTACGTATGCCTAGTCATCGCCTTCCTCAACATTGGGCAATGTTAGCTGATATAGGGTCAGGCTGGAAAAGAGCCAGCGGCGGTCAAACTAAAACATGTCACCAGTCAATGAAATCCACAACAGTTAGTCTAAGCCACGTAGGAAGGTGTAGACTTCCTGGTTGGGGTGTTCGGGACGGTAGAAACCAATGGTTGGAAACAATTGGTGACATGGCTCAAAATCGTTCTCAGTGGCGCAGATGCATCCACTCCTTGTGACTTATGATTTCCAATTAAACTGTTTTGTTCTTCGTTATTACTACTCCTTTGTCTCACAGCTCTGTTTACTGACTATATTATGCATTTCTCCTACTTTCTTCTCTTTCTTTGTGTGCTACATGGAGTGTGGCGACTTGAACTGCCGCACATATGTGCAAAGTTCTATGTCGAAAACCGACCGACTATAACCCTCTGGACATCCTCTGTTACCATTATTTTATATTCCTCATTTTTATCAAAGCAATTTCTTCTTTTCTTTTTTCAATGAACTTCTGATTCGAATACCTCTCTAGTGAATCTGGACAAGGCTTTTGCAGTGGACGTGATACATCTTGTCTACATGAGCTTACCGTATATATGAACCTTCCTATAAATTTCCACCTGTCACATGAATACTATATTCACGAAAACACTTTTCGAAGCGCCTAGCTGACACTATTGCGTAAAACAGTAGTGCTTAGTTGTAAATGTTATTTTCCCATCAACAACACTAAACAGATCACTCCCAGTGATCTTTATTTCCATAAAATTTCATAGAATTCAACTTATCAGAAAAAAAACCCATTACTTTTCAATGCATAATTTGTCTACTCACAAGTAGTTTAAGTGATTTAATAAATTTCTCTTGCTCAAACTTCTGATCGCAATTAAACTTTTCTTTTATACTTCATGTAGCCACTCGATCTGCATTAAGACGAAAACATCGAGATGAAATTTCTATGAATTCATCACGACCTCATCATTTACCAGTGCTACATCGACAACATGAACAAGAAACACAGGTAAGTTCATTCCCAATGAGAAATTTTCTTATCATATATCTTATGTTTTTTGTGATTATTGACGAATCCAGTGTTTTGTTGAAACTGCAGAAGTGATATTTGTTGTCAGTTTTACGTTAATAGTCTGAAAAGTGTCCTATATGTATGTGCTTTTTGCTCACTGACCTTTTTTATTGAGATACTCTTATTGGGAGAGTCAACTTTTTGGGATTCGAACTCCCACCAACCAGTACTGCAGTCAGAAGCATTGTTATTGAGCTATTGAGTTAACAGTCAACATCTTGTGTGACTATGCTCTGGGTATGTTTATTGGTCAGTGATCTGTATTACTAGATAACTACAATGTATTTCACAATATGGCTAGTTGGCAATTGTTAGGATGGACCACCTATCGTTGTAAGCTGTGAAGTCATAATTGATGCATGCACTGAAAAGATAACCTGATTGGGTAGTTGTTGATTAATTTATTTTTGGAGCAACTTCAAGGTCAGGCAATCAATCAGATATTGATCATTTATTTGTGGTTTAATTTTCCGTGGGAGTGTAAACAACAAATATACCTTGTATTGGGAATAATAAAGGCTGTTGTTGCCTCAGTTAAATTTGACTTCTGTGTCTAATGCAGTGTGGGGGAACAGTTTCAAGTGGGCACTTGGCTACAGTGTTATGTCTATAGGTGCATTGTATTCAAGTGAGACGACAACTGCAAAAACAGTAACACTCCGTTGTAATATTGAGCAATTAGGTATTCAAGTCAGTGCTGTCATAACAATAATAAGTCAAGAAAGCGAATGAAAATGGAAGTGTTACATACTGATTTGATTTTGAACCAGATCAATCTGGGTACACTGGTGATGATCCCGTCTGAAGGCGAGTAAATATTCCTTCAGATGTTGATGTCACATTTGCCCAGATACCGAGTACTAACGACCAATGTGAACGGTCTCTGAGTAATCAAACTATATATATATATATATATATATATATATATATATATATCAAACTTGATGAAGAATTGATGTCAGTTAGAGAAACATTGAAAACCAAAGGCTACTGGCCATTTGTTTTGTCCTAGTTGGGGACTCATTGACAGCAGGCGACCACCACCAGGGTTCGAATCCAGGACCTTCCGGTTACAAAGCAAACTCGTAGACCATTCAACTACTGGGATCCGACTCAATAGCCAACTCATAAATTCTAACTTCTACCGATTCGTCATTTTAGCTCGACCACTAGTCAATGACATATGTGGCGAGTATTTGTTCTCATTGGCGATCGAGTCCCAGTGTTTGAATGGTCTGCGAGCTTGCCTTGCATCCAGAAGGTCCTGAGTTCGAATCCCGGTGGGCGCATACTGATGAGAAGTCCCAGACTAGGACAGACCAGCTATCCAGTACTGCCTGCTGGTTCCCAAGGGGGTCTCTAACTGATGTCCGCTCGTGATCAATCCTGTGAACAATTAAACCCCTGAAAACCTAGACTTGATAAAACATGAATTCCAACCACTTTAAAATTTCAATAATATTCATTCTTTTCAAGGTTGCAAAGTCCCCTGTCTAAATAAAATGTTCATTACAAATCTCCTTTCTTTTAAGTGAATAGGAAGACACTGTATACTACTCCTATGGCATCCTTTTACATTTTGTTTCAATTTTGAGATGTCTTTTAAATACACGGAATTGCGCCCCCCCCCCCCCCCGAGGCACTGAAAATGGACCCAGAAACTGCGGCAGATATACTGACACCATTATTAAGGAAGGATAGGTGCTTACCAAATGGAAGAAATACTTTCTAACTTATCAAGCTACCAGATAGGGGCGACTTAGGTCTCTGCAAGACTTGGCTTGGAATAATGCTCCTGTCCACGCCAAGTAAAATGCCCAGTTGCATTATCTCGGAGAGACTAAAAACAACCACTGGGTGCAGAACTCCACCAGCCGGAACAAGCTGGGTTCAGGAGAGGCAAATCATGTGTTGATCAAATTGAAACTACGTGTCATCATCGAACAAAGCGTAGAATGGCAGTCAAACCTCCATTTAAAACTTCATCGACTTGGAAAAGGCCTTCGACAAACAGTGTTGACCGAGAAGTAATTTGGAAACTACTTCAACACTATGACGTGCAGTGCCCAAATCTTTATCAACTTCATTCAACAGCTATATGACAGTGCGTCGTGTCAGTTGGTCCATTACGGAAAAATCTGTGAGGAGTTCGAAAAGAATGCATGGGTGAGACAAGGCTGTCTATTGTCACCGATGATGTTCCTGATTGTGGTGGACTGGATTATGCGTCAGACTGTGCGTTGGGAGTGGGAAGACAGGGATACGTTGGACCGACAAGAAGACTCTAGAAGATTTGGATTTCGCGCATGGATGATTTATGTTTAATGTCACACAAACTCGAAGACTTGAAGGCGAAAGTCAACAAACTTGCTGAAGATAGAGGCAGCGATGATTGGACTCCAGGTGAACATAGAGAAGACGGAGGTGACGAATATAACTAAGCAACAACAACCAACACTAATCACCATCAACGGGAGAGATTTACGGTTTCAGTCACAGGTGAAGAGGTCAAAGTCAGATTTGTAAAGGCAAGATCCGCTCTCATCAACCAGAAACCAGTTTGGAAATCTTCTGCACTTCGCCCCAGCATAAAAAACAAGATTCGGATTCTATTCAACAAAAATGTGAAGTCAGTCAGTCAGTCAGTGCTTCTTTGTGGGTCAGAAACTTGCACTACGCGTCACGAAAAGGATTTCCAACAAGTTACAAACTTTTAGCAACAGCTGCGTTCGGTGGCTCCATATAGAAGGTCAAGTAGCCGACAGCGAAGAATTAGCAACAAGAAACTCTGGCTGGGAGCAAACCAACCATTAGTCGATTGTTCAACAAGTAGGTAGGAAAAAATGGAGATGAATCGGTCATACATTAAGGAAGGAGGTCATCGAATGGCATTGCGCGCAATGCAGGCCATCGGCCGAGTGGAATGACAATGGGAATTGACGAATGGGTCGTCCGAGGATGATATGGAGGAGATGAGAGATAATGGGCAATCGTGGACCCAGCTGAAGAGGACAGCAGAAAGTGGAAATGTGGTGTTGAAGCTCCATGTTTCCACTCGAAACCCAAGGGAATAATAATAATTTTTTTTTTTTTGATTTACCCTACCTCGATGAATTATAATCTTAATCACCCTCACTTATTACTTATTTCATAATGAGACAAGAGTTCATATTGTGATTGTATTTATTTTTAACTGAAAACCTCTTACATTAAAAAACAAACAAACTGTGCTGCCTTGTTTTCACTGTTTCATACTGTCTTTTTTCTCTTTCCAGAGATTGTCTAAAACTCAGTCAGATGCTTTTCGCAGTTTATTATTACGAATATTAGATTCATTAGATGGACGTGTTGTGGAACAACAATTAGCCTTAGAACGTTTAGGTGTTCCAACATTTACACGAACAACAGATCCTGATACAATACGTATTCAAATGAAAATTTTAGACTGGATTGTACGTTTAGCACATCGGCCATTACAATCTTTCAGTGTAGCCAGTTCTTCTACATATTCCACTTTATGGCCACCATGAATGTTACTCATAGAGATTATTTTCTGTTTTGTTTTTCTTTTATTATCTCATTACTTTCTCTGTTTATCTCTTTTTGTTTCATCCAATTTATAAAATTTAAATATCATTTTGATTCCCTGTAAAAAAACACAAAAGAAACATAATATCAATCAAATGAAATGAATTACTTTTACCTATCTGAATAAGTAGGTTATAAGTAATATCTAGCATATACACTGAAAAAGAATGTTACAATTTTAAAGTCTGCTCAAAATCTGCATTTTTGTTAAAGTATTCTGGTTTCTATGTGTGTTCTTTTTTTTCCTATTACATAAATGAATAAAATTGATAAACCGTCAGACATTTATTGTATTGCTTACTGTAATTTCTTTCGGTGGTAAAAACCATGCACTTCCAAGAATGGAATGATGTATATTTTTGAAGATTTTATAATGATTATTCTGTAGAATAATGGTGATATCAATTTGGCATGCTACAAGTGGCATGCTATTGTATATTGATTATCCTTTTTCAAAATGTAAACAGATTGATTGTGTAAATTGTTCTATTGATATATATGTATGTATGTATGTGTATATACTTTTTGTGTAGCTGTTTTTTTAAAATTATTTTTGCGCCATGATTTAAAGTTGTATTACGATGTCAAAAGATGGACATGCGATAAGAGAAGTGATTGAAAGCTTTAGTTAAACAATTGTCAGTTAATGGTAATTGATCCACAACGGAAAACGTAGTGAAGTGAAGGCATGAGTAAGAGAAGCATACCTACTAATACCCACGATGATATTCCGAATTGCGGGTGGACTGGATCATGCGTTGGGAGCGAGAAGACCGCAATACGTTGAACCAATAAGAAGATCTGAACTTTGTGGATGATTTTTGTCTAATGTTACACAAACTCCAAGACTTACGGGTGGAAATCAACAAGATTGTAGAAGAAACATTGAAGACAGGAATTTCAAAGTCAAGATAGAGGTGATAAAGGTAATCAAATAACCAAACAAGAACAAGTACTACTTGCTATCAACGGAAGAAAATTGAAAGAGGTCACATCTTGGAAAAGGAAGAGAGATCTTCACTATTATGACATAAGTGTGGAAATCTGCTTAGCTCAGCAATAAAGTACGATATCTGGATCTTCACCACTGATGGTAAATCAATGCTTCTATATGGTTCAGAGACTTGGTACATCACGAACAGACTGCAGACTATTATTGACAGCTGCCTTTGCTGTCTTCATACTGAGGAACAGACGGCCTGAAAGGATAAGCAACTGAAAATGAACCAACCAGGGACGTATCGCCCGAAAAGTATTCTGAAGGAAAGGGAGATGCATAGGACATTTGCTGAGAAGACCGTTGATTAACATTGCGTGATTCTAGTGGAATCCTCAGTGTCTAAGGATGATATAGAGTAATTTGTGTGAGAAGGAGATGAGGGCTTATGGGCAATCGTGGAGCAAGCTACAGAGAATATAACAAAGTGGAGATGTGCTGTTTAAGCTGGGAACCCATGGAGACAAGTATATATATATATATATATATATATATATATATATATATATGCAACTGTACAAGTATGGAAATGAAATCGTTGGAGAAGGAACTTCCTTCCCTGAAATCTTTGTTTTATATCTCACTTGGGGATTATTATTTTTATTATCAGGTGATAAAGAATTTGATTAGGTGGAATGAACAGGATTTTGTAAATATGCGTTTGTCAATGAAACAGTATAATTTCACTCAACAACAGTATACCAGCTTTACCTTACGAGGCTCTCAATAATGTGGGTGTTGAAAATAACAGTGTTCATTTGCATGATTTAGATGATGGCCGTTGTGATTTAAAGGTTCGAAGACAAACTGCCAAGAGATTTAGAATTAGAAGAGGACTTAAGGCAGCTCAATTTTGAGCTTGCCAGTAAATTTGAGATGAAGGAAGATATCTTAAGAGGTAGGAAAAAAGGACGAGTTGATGTCAGACTTGAAGGAAACTTCGAGCTCCATTGTTAGTGATATGGTTATGTCTCGGGTCGATATTACATACTTTGATGGGAACTCTGGTCAATATAGAGTGCTTGTTAGCCAGTTTTATAAGATAGTTGAGGGTAAACTGAGTAAAAAGGGACAGAAGTTAGTCAACCTTCTAAATGTTTGCCAGGGAATGGCTAAAAAGGCTACTGAAGCTTGTGTGTCTCTTCCTTCAAACCTTGACCGTGAAAGAGCCCTGCAGATATATTAAGATGTGTTTGGACAAGAACATACGATTGTTCGTTCACTTGTCAGTGAACTTATGGGAGCTTTTCATTCCGTAAATTGACTGGAGATGACCTCATTCTTTTTGACATAAGACTCCGCAACGCCCATATCGTGCTGAGTAGCACGGTTTATATTTCCGATCTGAACTCTACCATAAGTCTAAAATGAATTATCAGTTGTTTCTCCATTGAAATGCAGGCAAAGTGGGCCGATGTAGCTGTCAGAATTTTTGCGGCCAGTAGAGAGCCGCAGTTCAGGGATCTGGTTAAGTTTGTAGATGAGACAGCATGAGTGCCTCCAAAACGTTATGGAATGATACTTAGGCACAACGCAGGCACCAAGGATAACAGAGCTGCTAGGAGTCAATATCCTGTGTCTCAGTGTAATGTAGATAACGATCCATTACAAGGCAGCCTAGGAGCGTTCCACAGGAATCTAAAGGATGCATTTTATGCAAGGGTTCTCATGACCTAACAAAGTGCCCCAAAGTGGAGGATATGACCGTCGACTAGGTAAGGTAAACAGCTAGGAAGATAAATGGTTATTTTGTTTGCCTAAATTGGGTCATATTACAAGATTTCGCCCCTCACAAAGAATGCGGAATGTGGATGGATGCAAGGTGCACCATCACACCCTGCCACATTTGAATAACTATAATAAGGCTGTAGTGTACATTGTACCTTTGAACTTTTGTTTGAATGAATGCAACCTGACATGTTTACCTTCACTTCCACTTCCGCATTGTATTCCTGAACCTCCTGTACGGTTTCGGGTTCGCTCTCTCGCTGTGCTTTCACCTAGCGCACTCTCTGAGCTTACCGCCGTCTCATCTGCAGATAAGTGTGTACCTCTTATTTCTTATCAAGTTCCATATCTCTTTTGTGTAAATACAATTCTGTTCCAGTCACACTTGCCATCTCAAGTCTTTTAACCTTGATTCCGTTTGTTAGTACTTGCACGTTAGGCAGAGTACTATTAAGGCCATAAGCGGTGAATAAGTTTTGTAAGAGTAGTTACTTTTAGGTCGAAGTTAATACCAAGTCTAACTCTTACAAGGCTTTGAGTTCAGTTTCAATTTTTGAACATGAGAATAATACTGGGAGGTTCTACCTTAGTCTAGTCCATGTGAAGCCGTTTGGACGAGAATAGCGCCTGGAAACGTACGCTCTTATAGATAGCGGATCAGAGACATCCATTGCTTTAGAAACTACCATTTAAGATTGGACATTAAGGCGAGTGATTCAAGGCTCAGCCTGGTGAAAGCAAGTGGAGTTTCACAGCAAGACTATATTTAATTGGCTCTAGGAACAATTTTGTTCTGTGAAAGAGACCCCATGAAAAGAAACAAGGCATAGACGATACCCCACTTATTAATAACTAACAGACAACACCCAACAGAGGAGCAGTTAAAGGACTTCAGACATCTGGTAGACATTAGGCTGTCAAGGATTGAAGATGGTGTGCTCGTCCCTTTCGTTGGCTGTCATGCTCCAGACACACACTGGGTTCTGAGACAATGATTTGACGGGAGGGAGCAGTCGTTTTCTGTTAGAACAAATTTAAGCTGAATCATACTAAGGCCGAAATGACATGGTGAATCGGCGATAAATGTTTCACGTTGCCATACCTAGGACAGCCATGAAATCCAACATTTCATGTTGGATGGATAATGGTATAACACGAAAGGCTTCTGAGTACGAATTATTTGTTCACCCATTCGGTGCTGTGTCATCTCTTTTCCGTACCAAACGTGCATTGATAATAATAATTTATATGTCGCAAGAGCGAGTAAGTTTAAATGAAGTGCATGGCGTCTTTTCCGGTACAATTTTACGGGAATGGATAAGTATTATTTAAATTATATAAGTCTTATTTATGGTGAAATTACATGGTTGCTGTCCTTTTTGACATTGCTTTGTGGGTACAATCTGCTGACTAGTCATTCAATGGAATATTGTCTTCGCATTATTAAAAAAAATCCAAGTATTTGTTGCGTGAATTACAAATACTTAGGAATAAAATAAAGCTTGAAGTCATTTCCACATATAACTTTGGCGTGTACAGCATCGAATATAATTCTTGATTTATATTCATTTCGGGTATTAATTTAAAATATTTGATATATTTTCACCTTGGTGAGTAGAGGTATAGATTAGCATTTCAATTCACCAGCTGCAAGCATTTGGAGTAGTGTTTAGGAGCGTATGATTCCTACTGTTCGTCGGGTTTTAGATGAACTTTTTGAAGAACAACCGTTGACTGATTTAAGCTTAATGACTTTACCAATAGAAGCTGAACGTATTATCAGTAACAGACCTCTAGTTTCGCTAACCATGTACATTGAAGACCTCGAAGTGTGTTAACGCCTGATAAGCTACGATTACCAAGGGACAATTTGATGGGTAATAATGTGACCCATTATAGTGACAAGTTTTCCAAAAGATGGAGACAAGCTAGCTATTTAGCAGATGTGTTTTGAAAACTTTGGTCCGAGGAATATGTTTTCTTGCTACAGCAGCGACACAACTCGGTGGATATCTTGGGATTATGCACGCCAGAGACTCAGTTGTCATGATATGAGTCTTGTGCACTTACTGCCGCCTACTAAAGATGTCTTAGACAAGTGGAGTTGAGGAGGGCTAATGGAGTGCTGGTAAGGGATATTAGTAAAGTCCGTCTTCTGTAGATAATAGGGCTCTTAATGGTGGTATCTAGACGTACTGGTGTAAGTCCCAGATGCATAAAATAAATATTTAGATCACGGAATTAACTGGCGTACTGGAATAAGTCATGGTAACCAAGGTCAGTACTAGCTAAGCGTGTGTGGTGCAAGGATTACTTTCATGGGTACAAGGAGTGCATGTGGTTGGTGAATTCGGTGCATCCGATTGCGGTCAAGTGTGTGAGCATGCTACGCAGCAATTTACCTGGACGACTAAATGTTATCGCGAAGATTATTTCATCGATTGTTTGGAAAGGAAATTAAGGTTCTTTTGGTGGGAAGTGTTATGTTGACTATTTACACCCGTAAAATCTAAAGGTTTACCTTATATACCATTGGCATTTTGTGTTAATTATACCGTTTTTTGCTTCATTAGACCTTTGTACATTTCTTGTTTAAATCCATATTTTGGTAGTCGCCAGACAATGTTGGGTTCAACCATTGTATTCTTGGCATTTGGATGCCGGATAACCTCATATTTGAAGGTTGTTCCACGTTTGTCTGGTACATTTAGTTCAACAGGAGAATGATCTCGCGGCTCTTAATTATTCTGTTATCAATACAGCTCTGTTTGGAACCGTTTTGTCTTGAACTTGTTCGAGTTTAACTGCAACAATTTGATTTTATTTCAGTTTGGTCGAAGACTGAAAGTCTGTCCCTTCAAACGTTACTCGCGCGGTGTCTGTGGCAACCACAATCCGAACATAACTTTTGTGTTCCCCGAATATTTATATATATTTTACAGACGATATTTCCACAGTGAGAGCTAGCCTTATTGTGACTTCACGAGGCATGATCTTTTGTGTGGCATTACCAGGTCAGATATGTTTCTGCTTACTCTATGCCAAAAATATATCCTTTCTGATGGGGTTGTGTCCTCTGAGCTGGGTAGTTAATTTGTGGAGCTTCCATTGCCCTACTGGGCAACATCTTCCGCGCATGCTTCAATTTCAAGTGAGTTAGATTTCTTCACGAGTTTATTAGTCATCCCCCCTTGTGACCTCGCACGTTATTGGATGTTTTTGTGTTTTCACAACCCCTAGGCTGCTTGTATTGGAACTGATTGTTCCTTTGACTCGAATTTTGACCGTTTGTGTGTGAGATTCCCTTCTTATCGATTGGTATATTTTGACCATATCGATGTGTCTATCGTGGAGCCAGTTACACAGGCCGTGCAGTTAGGCGTGTTCTTCGTCGGATTTCCGAACATCACCCTGTATGGTTAAGTAAAGGACAAACAAAATCTATTCGCAGAGCTATTCTATCTCATCTTGTGGATACAGAGCACAAGAGTGATGTTAACCAGGCTTTCAGGGTCTTTTACCGCGTACCAACAACTCTCAATTTCGCCTTGAGAGTTCGACTAATGAATAGTAGTGAGGCTGTTGGGACCCGTATTAACAAGCCTAATTTGTCCGTTTAAAAGCGGTTAGTTCAGACTTTATCATTACCCTGGCCACCTGGGTGTGAAATATCCTGAATTTTTGTGGAATTTACCTAATTTTGGTTGGTATTCTATCTTCTACTTTATCTTTATTATAATAATAATTCAAGCGTCTTTAATGAACTGTAATTCGATTGATCTTACTTTATAAATCGACATTATTTAAAAAACACTAATATTGTTATTGACTACTATTCTATAATCTAGGGTATTCTATGTATATAAACGTATATATAGTTGTGAAGTCAGAAGAGGAATTTATCGAAGAGGATTTTCATTGCTCAGTTGTTTTTGGGACAATCAACACGGATATATCACTCATAGTCTGTACTGCGAAAAATCTCTACACACCTCGCCAGCATCTCGACTAGATGGCTTTCTTCATGAAGGCAGAAGCGAACACATCTGATCTCAACCTCATTGGTCTCTTTGATTTATTGTACCGTTCACACTATTAACGTATATGATCAAAAAGGAGGCTTCAGTCGCTTATGTTAAGGTCTGTCTGTGCTAATTTCATTAATCTTTTTTGAGGGAATGGGACGTGGACAAACCAGGAACTTTTGGTTTTACAGAAGCTTTGAACCCTAAGTCTTAGAGATACAAACGCAAATATGTGAGACTACTGGCTTACCTATTTCTGCAAACTTTAGATGGTGAAAAGTATGAACAAGTACACTAGGTAAAATGAGAAGATACTGTGTGCACGTATACTTCACCCCTTAATTAGCTTCTTCTACATGACAAGAGAATTATCAGAGATCCAAAACGGACAAAATATTTTTGATAGTCGAAAATTCAGGATAGAATTCAGAATCAGTAAAATTTAGACTGAGGTGTGTGCTTAATCAACCAGACGTCATTCCTGAACAACCGCAAGCGTCACAACAGAGAGTAGAAATGACCAGGATGCTTGAATGGATATCTGTAGTAGGTGACTATTCTGTTGGTGTCCTGCTAATTACTGCTTGTTACAATTTATAGTATATACATGATGTAATTGATTCTGCCGAATACGAATTTCTGATTTCTGTCTTCTTCATGTCGTTGTTCGGAACACTGATATTTGGCCACTGTAGATAACCGCAGATATGTATTATGGTGCCTTCAGCTTAAAAGGCTGAATTAAACAACAAAGATCATCACCCTGTTATGAGAAATGAATGCTGTTGACCATTATTTTTGGGGATTATCTCACGCCGCAGCTCGCACCATTCTGATATAATGATTTCCGTAGGAAATAAAAATGATTATGGCCACGTTATTAGAATCATTTCAATGGACATGGTATCATGCGCCCATGCAAAAGTGTTCCATAGGCAAAAATTCATCATGTTCGTTACCTAACTTTTCCGTTCCTTTCGTTTTTCGTTCAATGCATTTTGCATCTGGAAAATAAAACAGGGAAGCTTAAGACTTTGTAGATAAAACGTTGTCGGAAAACACCGCTGAATTTGTACATACATGCGCAACTAGAAAGAGAGGAAACCTGAAGAAACTATTTTGTAACGTAGTGGCTAAATAATATTCGAAGTCTCAAAAAAGAATCTATCGAATCTATGGGGTTTGTAACAGAGGGGCCACATAACCGCTGTTTTTTTAAACAGTTAACAGTGACACGTTCATCATGACGGTCTTTGTGTAAGATGAGGACTCATCGTATGGAGTTTCCTACAACTGGCATAATGGCGAAGAAATTTATGTGAATATATTTGGAGACGTGATTTAACAAAAACGTCTTGAAACTGCAGTCAAGAGCGGCTGGCTTTACTGTGTGCATCGTGTTGTGTGACCAACTGACATGTAGAGTGTGAGTCACGACTGATGGAAAACCCGATGGCGAGAGAAGATCACCAGATAGTCATAGTTTTCCTCCAAGTATCGGATTCAGAACTACACTTGGTATCTGTCCTCAGCCCATTCAGTTAGCCATGGAGAGATCCTACTAGTAGCTCAGTCAAATATGGAGTTAAGACTTCAACTGTTGGTGGAGTTTCCCTACTACACTAGACTGCCGCTTTGAAACGTGTGCTGAGGCCAAGGTCACTTAGAATTACTGTCTGCAGACGGTTGTCATGGACAGTGGACAACTAGAATTTGCAGTCAGTCACCACTCATGAGAACACATAAGTGGATACGTCTCTGAAGAGTGCTTCTGCTTGCCATCGAGTAAAGCGGCCAGTATGTGTCAATCCATGGGCATATAAATGACTTCCTGGAGGCGGTTCATCCGGATCTATATGAATGTGATAGAACATTAGTTTCTTTACCCTATTCAGTGATTTATTTGTCAAATAAGTATGTTTCTTGAAAAGATTTATAGCCTGTCATGGGGTTAAAATGAAGAAGCATACGGTCACTCCTTTTTTGTATTCTGTAAAGTATGTTGAATATTGAAGTTAATGTACATTGATAAGCGGAAGATATAGACCCTGCGTTACAATGGCTTAACCTGCTGCCACATTCGTGTATTATGGCTTCTGAAGAGGCTAGCAATTCAATCGTGGGCTTATTATTTTCTTATTCAGTCATTTTGATTTAGAGAAAGCCATCTGCAAGACGGTCAAAGCCTGATATGGCAGCTTTGGTGGATCAGCAGAGATTTTTCGATGATCCGTGGTCAAGAAACAGTTTATACCAATTGGATTCACTTATACCAGTTGTAGCTCTCCACGTAAGCAACCAATGAATACAGAATAACTCTTCCGTGTAGGATCTAGGAAAAAACGGGATAAATATAAGGCATTTCAGTCCTTCAGCCTCTTCCCATTCAGAAAAACGTTTTCACAAGCATCCTGTTAGTTACAAATATGTAGTATTTTATATTTGCATCACTATTTTTATCAGACAGTATTCCGAAATAAAACTATATTATTCTTTGATTATATTGTTTACAACAGAATCATATCGTAACGTGATTGTTGCGTTTCTACTGTGTCCATGTAAAATCTCTTTGTTTGTGACTTAAAGCTATAGCAGCCCAAAACGAAGCTACCTAATGAACGGATTACTGATTTTGAGCAACCACTCAGACGAGTCCGTAGTATGTTAAGGGATTTATGGATGCTGTACACGAATTACGTAGCAAATTTCTGTCAAATCTGGTATATAAATATTGCTTAGACAACAGACTCATAGCAAGGGAGAAAACGTGTAACCGACTATCGTTCCTGGACTATATTCACAACGTGGTCAATAATGCGGACAATTTGTTAGTCCTTTTGATAGCATTCACATTGTAAGTTTTTAGAGTCACCTAGAAAAGAGGATCAGAACGGTGAATATGTCAAGAGACACGATGACTTACACTTATTTCCAATTTATGTACATAATTTGGTTTAACGTAACTATGAGGCCTCCTATGAGATTTGGAGTTTTTCTTGGGACACACACAAGGATATAATCCAATATAACTAATTTTTAGCATTGCATTACTTTTATATAATTTTTTTCATATTAGCTTGTTTATTAGATGTATCACACAGTGAGGCAGTATTATTTTCTGGATGACGTTTCGCACAAAATTTATTGTTCATGATCATATCAATTATAATCACACGACTTCGAAACTTGAGTTTTTTAGTTTTCTTCGTTCTCTCCTATTTGTCGTAGGGGTAGTAGAATTTTCCAGATCCTGTGGAGCAAATTAGTTTATCTAATACCCCGTAGTGATTGTCAGGTCAAATACACAGGTCAAAGTAGTAGAACAGGGGCAGTCAGACTAGTGGAGCATAGAATCCTAGTTGACTCGAACGAGGTAAGAAATCTGGAGGACATTTTAGCTATACCACTCACTACATGCAATTACACACAACCATACAATAGGATGGGATAAGAAGACAGTTTTAAAATCTAGTGTCACAGGGTGGAAGGAGAGATTGATAAAAGCTTTGTTTATCGAATCAACTGCAAATACGTGTAATAGGAATGATTCAACACCTGTCCACTCAGACATCTAGAAAATTCTACTACCCCTACGACAAATAGGAGAGAACAAAGAAAACTACAAAACTCAAGTTTCGAAGTTGTGTGATTATAATTGATATGATTATGAACAATAAATTTTGTTCGAAACGTCATCCAGTAAATAATACTGTTTCACTATGTGTTACATCTAATAAACAAACTAATATGGAATTACTTACAACCACAGTGCCCAGATTTTACACATTTTTTTCCAAATTACACCCTCCTACTTCAGACGCGTCTGATTAGACGATTTATCAAGGTCTTTGTTAAGTAGTTTCGTTGTTGGTTACTATAAGTTAGTCACCCCATTGTTAACTGTTGTACTTACATATAACTAGTATGCTTCAAAGTTGTTGTCTGAATAGTTGCTATATATTCCTGTCGAAGTGCACCACGATTGTTTTCCATCAGAATTCCCTAGGGCCTTTAAGAACTAAGCAGTAACGTTATAGTATCCACAGAAAGGTATGTATCATCGTTTGATATGCCTTCAGAAATAAGTAAAAAGATTGTATCATCACATGATTCCGGGATTTTATCTACTGTTTTCTATATTTTGACTTATCAAATCGGGAATTTTGCATACAATTTGCCTGGTCTATTTTTTCTTAGAAATAATTTTTCATATTTGGATTAACACACTAAACGATGATGGGGTTGTCTTTTGTTTTGAAAAAACTGTGTGTAGTAAAACTTCAGTTTTTGATGATTGAGCATGAAGGTGTTTGAACTCAGCATATTATATTCTGACTAATAATTTTGTGGAAAATTTGTGTTCAAACAGTTAAAAAGTCTGTTAAGTTTCGATTGACTGGGGGTAGTGTGGTTATATATGCTTTTTCGGTTTATATGTTGGCATTGCTTTTTAGTACTTATGCGTAGGCGGTTTCAAAATTTGGTTACATGTGATTATTTTTCCAAGTACGTTTCAATTATTCATATAATGTTGTAGAGAGTTATGTAACTCATTTTTATGTATCTGTCTAACAGTTGATGATATGCTTAATACTTTGTCGAAACTTCTGTTTAAGATATTCCATCATGTGTGAACTTTTAGCTTTTTATATTCAAATAACTAGCAAGAATATAGATTGTAATGTTATTCGTGTCTATCTTTAGCTGAGTATAGAAACAATAATCTCAGGGTATAGAATTAATTGTGTGACATCGGAAGATTTAAATAAACAGTTAGTTACCGAAAGCTTCTTGAGGTGTGATGTTTTCGTATTCTGGAGCTCCTTACGTTGCAAAAATACTATACAAAACAGTTCCCCTTTACTTAATGGACTTCACTGTATATTTGTTTCTGCTTTGCTGATTATTATAATCTACACTTTCACTTCTTGTACTTTTCTGTGTTTTTTTTTCTCGTATTTTTTCTCATACATCATTATGCTTAGCTTTTTGTACGATTATCAACATAAAAACCTGTATTAGTGCGTCTTGTTCCTTTCTCTGAAAACTCATTTAACCATTAAGTAAAATTAGTAAAAGGGAGTGAAAGGAATGGAAGTATGTGTTCAAAGGTTAAAGAATTCTTTTAAGACTGAAAAGGAAAACTTTAAAGGTACTGATAGAGGTTGTGGATGTGTACACCACTGCAATCAATACCGACCCACATTGCGGAGTTTCTCTATCCATAAGTTTGTCCAGTCATGTTGACTTCAGCATAGGTAAGTACATTTTTCCACACTACTAAAGGAAGTCATTGGCTGTATGGTTTGGCACGACACCTTATCGTAGGTATTGCTCTCTTCTGATCTAGTTCCATATTAAGTAGACACGTGTATTACACGACTCGGTTACGGACCCATAGATGCTACCTTGCTGCCTATTGCGATGACCCAACGAGCCACACTGGTTGCATGTTCTTCTACACCAGACAGGTAGTTTAGATAAAGGCTACACTGTAGGCAGTTGCCATCTTAGTATAAGTCTCACACTGTGTTAGGAGTCTGGGGGTAACGTTGTACTGCTGGCAAATAAGGACGTAATAGCACACAAAGATTTCCTGATCACCACTTACCCTCATCTTGCTCTTCTATCTCTGTTAATACTATTCCACTGCTGGGTTATTTATTTTCTCTTAATTCAGTAACCATTAACAGACATAGGCTGGAAAACACTTCTAATAGAATGTTACTTAAGAGCCATATACAATTCCATGCGTTTGACACTGAGCCGCAGTTATTCCGTGACGGCTAGTGATACTGTCTGGCTACCGAAACCTAGGTAAGTGGAGCGGCGTTCAAATCTGTGATTTAGTACCTGTCTAAAGCTGTCTACTTTGCCACTGAAGGCAAATCGCTCAGATAGTCATTCCAGAATGTAATTTCAGTGCTAAAGTAGGGAAGACGTGCCAGTTGGAAAAGTAGATTAGTGGTACTATGGAATCCCATGCTGGCGAATAGACGACTCTGTTCTTATGGTCGTCTGTTCCTGGTCAGTACCAATTTCAAATATGAGGGGAGACATTGTCTGACCTGGTGACCATCACCAAGTGAACTCAAATATATGATTACCTCTTCTTCTGGAATGCGTACACCGATCAATCAGTAGTCTCTATATACCTACGACTGAACGAACATATCAAACAGGTAGCTATAAAGCCGATACATCTTGACTTGATGAAAACACATTGCGTCTGTTAAGGGATTAGTAACTAAACACGTATCTAAGGTTGACATTAATATTCAATCCTGACAAAGCCTGTCACAATATCGAGTCAGTTGTGGAAACGATGGTGAAGGCTGTCGATAAACTGAAACCGAGAGTTAATAGGAGCTAGTGAATTTTTGCAACTGATAGACGCTAGGAGACTCACTCAGGCGCGCTCCGAAGAGAAAAAGCTGCTTAAGTGCAAGTTGGCTAAAAGCCTGTGAAGATTGGTGAAGGATCAAGAGATGGAGAAGGCACCAGCAATAAGTAATGCCAGACAACCATGTAGACTGACTAAAGAAATGGGTTGCAAAAACCAATGTTAAATGAAAAGATTTTCGAGGACAGCACCCTAATTACTTGACAGTATAAACGAACGGAACGCTGGAGGGGACACCTTGAGGAGCAGTTCAGCTGGCCTGCAATTACACCAAATTTACACAACATCTAACTCCTACCTAAGTAGGATATAGACGTCAGCCTTTCAATTGTAACTGAGGTTGCGAAGACTGTCTGTAATCTGAAATAAGGTAAATTAATGAGGCCTGATGGTATGACTCAGGAGACGCCTGGTGGTGAATAGCTGAAGTCTGGGTTAACTAAGTTATCATGTAATGCATAGGAATCTGGGATAGTTCCATTAATGTAAATCATTGGTTATCCCATTTTACAAGGAGAGAGATAAGTCTTCCTGTGATAGTTATAGAGGAAACAGCTTGACTAACACAGTATCTAAAGCTTTTATTTCGATAATCAAGCTTAGACTGAGCAGTGGTCAAGAGGAACAAACATGGGAAAACATTAGAGACTGTAGGCTAGAAAGAGGATGCATTGATCTCCACCCTGCGACCAACTCTGGGACCTAGTTATACTTACCGGTATCCAACACTTGCTATATTTCCTGACCATATGACGGCATGTGACATTGTTGTAGATATACTAATGAATTTGACTGCAATCGACTTTAGTGACTTAGATATTCTCTTATTGCCAAGTAACGGCCTCATCGATTTGTTGTATTCTGGTGACACAGTCCTTCCAGGTGAA